GTGTCGATTTGTGACCAATGACACAAACTTAAACTTGAACAACTAACTAACCTGAACCAAACAACTAACCAGATCAACTCGTTTTTACACTCATGAACTTCTTTAATAGTCATAAATGTGCAAAACACATCATTTCTACAAGATTACCCAGCATCCCTTGCTTTGTTCTTGTGGCATGAGGTGGAAGAAGGCGGGACTTTTCAGAATCAACACTACACGGTGTTAAATAGCAACACTGTTAAGTGTTATATAACATATAACATTTTTAAGTGTTACTTAACAGTGGGCGGAGCTTATTTAACTCTTCAGAGTTAAGACAACACTGGTGAAATTAACTCTGTGAATTAACACCAACACTGGCTGTCATTTAACTCAGAAAGTGTTAAAAAAAACACTTCAGGAGTTAAAATCAACTCTGAAAAGTTTAACACTGAAATTTTAACACTGTTTTTTGCTGTGTTGAGAGAATAAAGTATGACAACATGTGGTCAGTATAGTCTACAGCAGTCTAAGCCTAAGGCATACAGTAGCTCCTGAAACCCAAGTCAACCCTAACTATAAGTCTAGCCTTAAGTTAAACAGTGTCTGCCTCACAGACAGAAACTGGAAGATGGTTCCACAAGAGAAGATGTAGACAAGAAGAATGCAGACTTGTGTGAAGTACACAAATTAAGGTTTATTGATACAAAAACAAAAGGTGGTGAGAAAGCAGCTGTTTAAATAGGGTAAAGGATGAAATGAATTAAAAACAAAAAGCTGACTTGGCAGGAAAGTTACTTAAAAGCCATAGAAATCAATAAGCAACAGGAGTAGTAAAACAGGGAACATACAGGTGCATCTCAAAAATTTTGAATATTATGAAAATGTACCAAATCTCATATATTACATAGATTCAGTACACATAGGCCTTGATTTATCAAGGATTACTACATATAAAACAACATGCAAACTTGATGCATGCAAAGCTGATTTATTAACGGTGCCTGGAGAGGACTGCATCTGTCAGATGAGCAAAATAGCAGTGGCAACCCATTCAGCATGTCTTCCTTCATGAATATGCTCATTATATGATAATTATCAGATCACGCAAAATACTAGGTGGAGGATATGCAGCTAAAATCATTTCACAGCCACAGTTTCATTTTTCAAACCTTGAAGCTGGTTGTGCCACTGTTTTTGTGTCTGTATTTAGTAGGGGTGTAAGAAAATATCGATACACTGAAATATCGCGATATTTCATTTCTCCGATACTGTATCGATATTCTAAAGCCCTGTATCGATTTTTATTAAGGTTTAAAATGTCAACTTTCCTGCCAGCCGTTCATTTTTATGTTGTAGTTCAGTCTCAGACCACTAGTTGGCAGCAGTGAGCCAGACATTTGGCTCCTCTACGTCTCGAGCGCCAGAGAGTAAGAG